ATATAGCTTGATATGGCTTCGGCGTCGGCCTCCTTAAGGATTAGCGCACGTACGCTACTTCTGGCAGTCAGCTCGGGGGAGGGAAAAAGGGAAGGGGGATGAGGAGCGCCTATGAGCAGGGAGGAGCGCCTGGAGAGAGCGCTCAAGAACCCGAACTCAGGATCCGTTTGCTCGAGCTCAAGATCCATTAGATGGGGCTTCGGCGTCAGCCTCCCTTAGGATTAGGCACATCGCCACTTCGGCGTCGCTCGAGGAGGAGAGGAGCGCCTGGAGGAGACCCCTGGAGGAGTCCCCTGGAGAGAGGAGGAGGAGAAGGAGCGCCTGGAGGAGGAGGAGGTCCGGAACGCCTGAGGAGGAGCGCGTGGAGAAGCGCCTGGAGAGGAGGAGCGGCTGGAGGAAAAAAAATTGGGGAAATGAGCCCGTGACCTTGCGGATGAGAAAGAAGAAGGTGGTTTTTTTGCCAAAAAAACCCTAGATCCGCAATCCCTCGCGCCGCTCATTCTCTTCCGATCAGCCAAGGCCACGTGAGCTCAAGCGCAGGAAATTTCCTGTGCTCGAGCTCATGGATCCGTTTGCCCATATATATATATATATATATATATATATAATATATATATATATATATATATATATATATATATATATATATATATATATATATATATATATATTTAACTACAAGTATTTTCATAGATGCTTAGTAGCCTAGTGGAAAGTTAATATTTTGGTATTCCAAAAGGTCCATTGTTCGAGGCTTGCCAACGACAAGCCGAGAAGTGTTTTATTTGAATTAATCCCTCATAAGTTCTAGTGGACCATGGGCCGTGAGCCAATGGGCCGGGGATCGGGGCTAATCGGGCTGAGGCACTAAGTGACGCTTTGTTAGGCATACTTTGCACTTCGCACGGAGGTATCAGGGCTGTTTGGAGCCACGTTGGCTGCCACTATGGTCACCATGAAGGTTGCCTCGTAGGTTGCTTCGCAGCATACGGATGAGCTACGTATTCGCATGAGGGTGTGATCCTAGCATTCTCGAAGTCAGACGAGGTTCGTCTGATTCATAAGATCAGACGAGGTTCGCTTGTCATACGAGTTTCACCTGTTTGGTGAGGTTCGCTCGTTCGACGAGGTTCGTCTGTCATATGAAGTTCGCCTGTTTAACGATGTTCGCTCGTTCGACGAGGTTCGTCTGTCATACGAGGTTCACCTGTTTGATGAGTTTCGTCTGTCATACGAGGTTCACCTGTCATACGAGGTTCGTCCGATTTGTTGAGTCGTGACCCTCGCATTTCGTAAGAACGCATCCATTGATTGCCTCGTATTTAGGAGCTACTGCATGCAACAGTTACAACAGCTATTAAGAGCAAATTAATGCATTGATGTTATAATCTTAATTGTCATTGAGAATTATAACAGTCACATTAATTACGAGTGATTCTTGAGCTGGCCTTAGTGGCCTATAAATAGCGCCCTTAGGCAGCTCATGAACAGACTCTCGCGAGCGTGGAATATGAATGTCGGTATACACACGCGAGCTTGGAAAACGAACGTCGGATCGATGTTTTTTGCTGTTGTAGTGCTGCTGCTGCAGAAACTGTACCCACAGAAACCCTGAAACCAAAAGGTTTTGAACCGAAAGGTTCTGAGATCGAGGAGATCTTTTGCCTTGACCGAAAGGTCTTATTGATCGAGGAGATCTTGATAGTACTGAGTTGGTGCACACCAGAGTACTGTACTGCTGTTCCTGAAAGCAGATTGGCCTTGTAATCCTTGCATCAGAGTAGGCCAAATATTGCTTTAAGCACAAGGTTTCACAAATGCACATCAGTTAACTTAAAAAAGTTTAAAATAATAGCACATCTAAATTCCTCTGTTTAATTCCAGATTTAACCACAATTTCCAACAGGGCTGATGTGCATAGACGAGCTGCTTATCAATTTATCGGCTTACTCATGTTTGGATTGAGGCAACTCTACTACAAATGCCCTTGCGAAGTTAGCATTACCATATGATTGTGCCAACTTTGCATTCATTTCAAACAATCCTAGAGTCGCTAGTGACTATTGTAAAAACGGATAGCTATGGATGTATCACATCTCAGTTTGTTATTTTTTTATTTCCTTTCATATCCTTGCACTTTTTTTGGGTCGATTTGGTTCACAGAAATAACCCAAAATCAATTTTCATGCCTTGACAACATTGTCATGTTAGATATTTTTTCTCAAACAATTCTATCTCCATGTTTGGTTTGCAATATGTCTAGCTATTGAGCTCAGAAATGCGTGCCACGTAGGAAGATCAAGAAATCCCAAATTCTCTCATAAAGCTCTAAAATGAGATGGCAATTAAATAAAAATGAATATAAAAAAGATCCACGCTTTCCACTCGTCGCAATAGATAAAAAGTTAGAAAATGATCTAGGGTTTATAGTAACTACCATCTTCCTCAAAAATTTCCCTCATCTCTTTTCGTTCTCGATACTGTGGCTCGTTAATATACCATTTAATAAAAATTTGGGCATAAAATGAGGTGACAACTGATCAAATTCCCCTTTGGCTAATGAAAAATGTTAGAAAGAGCTTTGGGAATTTGATCTGAGGTTGAGGATATTCCAAATTACTACATGGTTGAATTTAGATATCTTCACTTATTTTCTTTGATTCAAACATAGAAGATGACTACCACATGGTGAGCTAACTATTTCTGACCTTGATTTTCATGCAACCAAATATAGAATAACTATTTACAGGATATTCATAGAAACAGCAAAACACATAATTTCCACGTTGCTTCTAATTTCCATGTTTTCGTCAAAGCGAAAGAAACATGCCCTATTGAAAAAACAAAACGGTTTAGGGTCCGATCCACAGGTCTCTAGGAACTAGTATTAATGTCCCATATTTCTATTATGCTATGTTTGGATGGAGGGTAATGTGGGGTGAAAGGAAAAAAGAGAGTTACTCTGTTTGGGAGTTTTTTTTTAAAGAGGGGTAAGGGAGGGAAATGAAGGGGGAAAACGTTCAATTTTATTCCCCTCCAAACTGGGGGTAGAGGAGAGGAAGAGAAAGAAAGTAAAGTTTCATAATGAAAGAGACATCTTGACCCACTATCATAATGAATCAATAGTCAAGATTTATTTACTTCCATTCCCTTCATCTATATACTATTACTAATAAGTGTTACCCTTGGTAATGCCACTTGGCAAAAATGTCACATGGCAAAAAATGCCACATGGCAAAAGTCTATCATTCTGGAAACCACCTCCTCACTCTAATTATTTCACCCACGCGTTGTTCTCCCTTTCCTCAATTCCCCATATTAGCCTTTCACCCACATCCCCTTTCACCCACCTCCTCACCCCCTTTTTATTTCTCCAGCTCTAATTATTTCACCAACCTCACGCTAGAATTTTTTCCCCCTTTCTTCAATTCCCAAGATCGCCTCTTCGTGTCTGTCGACTAGGGAATCCGTGCTCCGCCTTGAGAACCCAAGCGTCATAAAAATTACCTCGATCTAAATTCCTCCATCGATCCCCCTCGGTTTAAATACTTAGATCTGCTGCGATCTAGATCTCTTGCTGTCCAATCGATCTCGATCCTGTTGTTTTGATCTTAGATCTGTTTTCGTTGAGGTCTCGATGCTCTTCAGTCGGTTGTTCGTGAAGCTCTTCAATCAGTTGTTCGCGAAGAAGGAGATGATGATCCTGATGGTGGGTTTCGATGCCGCCGGTAAAAACACTATCCTTTACAAGCTGAAGCTTGGAGAGATCGTCACCACGATCCCCACCATCGATGAGCTTTTGGATCTGCTATTGTTTGGCTTTTTTTAATAATAATTCGTTTCGAGATCTAACGATGAGGAGGATAACTATGACATGTGAATTTAATTAGAGAAAATTTAGTATATTTGCAGTCATAGATAAAGATGCTAAGCTTTGAATTTTGAAAATTTATCTGTGTTGTGTTGAAAGCATCATTCTAGGCTTGTGTAAGCAAGGGAGCCAAATATCCTCCATCCTCTAGAGCAATCTTTAAAATATCAAGCTTTTTGTTTTAATTTTGAGTATGGAATTGTCTGGAAAATTTTCTAAGCTTTAGACTTGTGTGTGGAAAGCATTTGTTGTAAATGACTTGGGTCTTCATGTTTGATTTAATGTGGAGACTGTTGAGTACAAGAACATTAGCTTCACTGTTTGGGATGACGGGGGTCAGGATAAGGTATTCAGTCTACATGCTGTTTAATTTCTATAATTGGTGAAGCTTGGACGTCTGCATACTTTACATTGACTTATGAAACCCAAATAAATGGATTTTTTTGTTTTATTTAAGCTTTATCATAATTTGATTGTTGAAATTTTCTGTTCATTTTAACTAAACATAGGATGTGGAGCATATGAAGCTGCACTGACATTGTAATTTTCAAATGTCTAACAACAAATCAGACCTTTGTGGAGGCATTACTTCCAGAATACACAGGGTCTTATTTTTGTCGTTGACAGCAATGACAGAGATCATGTTTTTGAGGCAAGGGATGAGCTTCATAGGATGCTGGATGAGGTTATATATTTTCTCCGTATATGTTGAAAGTTGAGCAGTGGTTATTAGACCGTTTAGCTATATACTAAATTATTCATTTTTGAATTTGCATTTCGAACTTTTCAAATGTATGTGCAACTTTTATGGTAAGTAGGGGTGAATTATGTTGATTGATTATTATGATGCTAAAAAGCAGCCAGCGAAATTGTTAGGTTGTTTGTGGATCCTAAATATCTAATTTCAACATTGTTATTTGATAGTCTCTGTAACCAATTTCCAGAAACCCTTTCATCTCCCCAACCTATTTGATCTTTTTGCTTTTTTTGTCTTCCCAAAGCAAATTAAAATATTTGATCTTTTATTACTTTCTGAATCTTTCCCCTCCTTCCACCTTATTATTATTATTATAGACTTTTCCTCTTTCTCTCCTTCTTTATTTGGGATTTAGATTGGAATTTCTTGAAGATGATGAAGAAGGGGAGCAGGGTTTTGATGATGGATTCAGAGGAAGCGAGGGCTCGGTTCAAGCATCAGGCCCTTTTGCAGGATTATGATGAAATGCTCATGGTAATAAAAAAATCTTTTCTTTTTTGTTCAGATCTGCTCTTTTTCTTTTAAAAATCTATTTAAAAATCTTTTCTTTTTTGTTCAGATCTGCTCTTTTTCTTTTAAAAATCTATTTATGTACATATGATCCGTTGTTATAGGGTTAGGAATTTATTTGCTTAAAAATCTATTTATGTACATATGATCCGTTGTTATAGGGTTAGGAATTTATTTGCTTGATGGGTTATATTTGTTTCTTGATTCAGAGATCTGGGGTTTGTTGTTATGTGCAATTTTGACTTCTCCATGGTAGGCATCAATTTGTGTAGTCTCCTTCGGTTCTAAAATTGAAGGATCTTTTCAACTTTTTTAGCGGTGTGTTTTACATTCTAGGGTTATTTGATCTGGGAGACTTAATAGTTTCTTAGGTTCCGTGATTTTAAGTTTTCTTAACACTTGTCTTATTTCTATTGTCTCTATGATTTTAGGATTTTAGGGTTCTGTTATTTGCTTATATTTTGTTCTTATATGTGTGTTTTGCATTTATCCTTCGTGATGCGTGTCTGAGTTGATTCTTTTTAGGTCCAACTCTTTTTGATTTTTTCTCAATATTTTTGGGTCAATTTTTTCCCCGTTGTTGTACTAAGTATATCTATTTTTTAACATATGAACAAAATGGCTTTTCTTTTATATATATATTTTTACAGGTCTCTTTTGCATATTCTATAAATCTATCACCGTAAATCCTATTAAGCTAAGAATTATATTCTTACTGTGCAGGAAATTGAAGCAAAGAAGAGGAAGTTGCAGAAAACAATTGCAAAGAGACTCAAGCTAACGACTGAAGTCAAGTACAAACTTTTGTTACTTGTAATTAATAGTTCGATTTTGAAGGATTTTAATTTGACACCATCATCTAAATGTAACGTTTCAGATTCATACGGAGAAAATACAAGGCTTTCGCGAAAAATCCATCTCAAGAAACCCCATGTCGAGGGAAGAAGTTATCTCGCAAAAAGCCATCACCATCTGTTCAGTTATCCCGACCTCCGAAATCCATAGATAATGATCTTCCTTTACAAGTTCCTTTGCAAGATAGGAGTCAGAGAGTGAAGGAAGTTGGAACTCCGAGCTCCTCTGCATTGTTTGACTTGAACAAGGTTACGTTTTCGGTAACTTATTAGATCCTTAGCCAAATTACTGAAGAGTTTGAACTACATTATTTACTGAATTGGCACTGCTCTTATTGTAGAATGCTGAGCATATGGAGGGAATACAAGTAGAGTGGGAGCCTCACAAGGTAGATAAATGGAAGAGCACCCATGAACTCAATCTATCAATCTTTAAAGATGTAGGAAGTTCTAGCCTTGTCGGTAAGAGACAAATTTCATGGCAAGCTGAAATTATTTCACCCACCTCACGCTGGTATTCCCCCCCCCCCTCCCCCTTTCTTCAACTTCCAAGATCATTAAGCATCCATCGATCTCAGAAATCATCTACAGCTCCCCAAATTGTCTCTTCGTCTCCCTCAATCTAAGCGTCTTTTTAATACTCAAGTTTGCACATGTGTGACATTAGCAACTATAGAGAAAATTCAGACAGATTATAATTGGTTTTACAATGCCTACAAAAAGTGTCAAAGGAAGGTAAAGGCTGAAAATGATAAATTTTGGTGTGAGAAATGCAATGAAAATGCAAGTTTGTTATCCCAAGGTACGTCAGGAAGTATATATGTTAGTTTCTTCACAAGTTATATTTCATCATAAGCTTCATGAATGGATGTCTGGATCTTCAACGTACACTTTAGATCACAGTTCTTATTGGTTTATTTTTATTTTTGAGTTTCATCAGGTACAGGGTTCATCTTTTAGTCATTGACCATACATGTACTACATCATTTGTTTTGTTTGATCGTGAAGCTAAACAATTTATTCACAAATCTATAGTCGAATTGAGGGAATGACTGACAAAAGTAATCACTCTGATTCCTTTCTGTAAAAATTAAAAGTTTTAATTCTATAGCTTTACTTTGCTTCTTTATATTGTTCACAAGAAGGTGGTTATTATTTTCAGCGAAAGTCGTTTCTATTGTCGATTCCATTAAAACTTAGATTGTTTACAGAAAATTACAATGAAAATAAGCAAAAATACAACTCTCGAGAAAATAACACAGAAATTGTTTATCAACTCCTGCTTTTGTGGGACTTTGTCTGTGCCGGGAGTGCTTTAACTCGTGGACCGCCGAATCACAGATCGTGAAGGGTCCTTAATGATTCTTCCTTCGTTTATCGAAGTGAGAATTTAAAACGAAGATCTTATCAAAGTAAGACAATCGTTCTTCTTAAGATCAAGTCAAAGTTCGAATCTCAAGGAATCACACTAAGAACTCAAGTCTGCTCTCTCTCTGCTCTGGATTGCTCTACCAAGTGCTCGATCCTCATCAGAAATGACCCTAGGGGGGTATTTATAGCCTCTGGGACATAACTGAAAAAATACAACAACATGAAAACATTAGGCTGCGAGACAGTGTTTACTGTCTCGGCGGCCGAGACAGTGTTTGCTGTCTCGGCCTGCGAGACAGTAAATACTATCTCGGAAAAGGTAGTTTCTTGGCAGTTTTTGATGTAACTGCTGTCCCACGTTTCAAACTCCATTATTTTGGCAGTTGTTCACGTGATTTTCGCCCGCAATGTTTTCCACGTCCTTTGGCAGTTAATGGACACGTGTGCGGAAGTTATTTAACCACTTTCAATCATAGTGAATACTGTCTTGCTGGTGAGACAGTAAATACTGTCTCGCTGGCGAGACAGTAAACACTGTCTCGCTGGCGAGACAGTTCATATCTGTCTTGATTTTTGTTCTAAGACAGTATGGGGTCAATTTCTGTGATTTTTGGGTGATCTTCTCTATGTTTGGATATCTATTAGTATTTTTTAACGCCTACAGATACCCCCTCCAAAGTATTCCAGACTCATTCTTTTATAGAGGAGTCTGGGATACTTTGGATAAGATAGATTTTACTTACGATCCCTTCAATGCTTGGTTGAGTAGATCGTGTAGAAGAATTTGTAAAATGGCTCCAGCTCTTGATCTCTTCACCCATTAGTCTATTCAGTTCTTTATAGAATAGCTAATGCTTCTCCGGCACTGCGTTTATCGCTTGACCGTTGTTGAGATATTGAATTGAAGCTGGTATTTCCAGATTGATGCTTGTATGTCCCTTGAAAGTTCGTCAGGTTATCCTTAAGAATATTCAGATTAATATTCTCCAGAAACTACCTGTCGAGTGTAGGAAAACAGTTTAGACTCGTGTACCTATTGGAGTATTCATACGTACCACGACATCACAACCATCGTTACCATCTTGGGATACGAGACAGCTTATACTGTCTCGCGGTGCGAGACAGTAAATACTGTCTCGCGGTGCGAGACAGTAAAGTCTGTCCCGCACGGCGAAGTCGGGATTATAAAACCCCGTACGGCGAGACAGTAAAGCCTGTCTCGCACGGCGAAGTTGGGGTTATAAAACCCCGACTTAGGGTTTTTTTCAGAGGGTTTTTCACGTCGATCTCTGGGCGATTTTCAGTTGATTTCCTGGCGATTTCTTGGTGATTTTTAACTAGTTCTCTGCCTCTTTTTCTCTTCTTCGTTTCTGACTTGGGTGGAGTTCTTGTTTGGGGGATTTCACTTGGAGATTGAGATCTGTTTTCCCTCTTTTTCTTTGAAATCTCAACTTCATTTTTGCATGCACTGTTTCAGTTGTATTTTGTGATATTTTGATCGACTTCATGTTCAAAATCCTAACTTTCTCGTTGGATTTCAATGTAGATCATATACTCATTATGTCGCTGCGTAGATCTCGCGTTCCCCGGGGTCATCCGACTGTTCAGACCACTAAGGGGACTGCCCCCGTTGCTGCCTCGCATGGGGGTACACTTCTTTCACCATTTCACGGATTTAAACACTGTATTTCATCAATTTCATATATATATCTGTATTTGTATGCAAATCCTCGTTTGTATCCTTTGAGATACCTTCGAGAAGAGCCGGTATCCTCCTTCGAGGGGATCGACGCTTAAAAAGTGTTTGTTTTGCTTGGACAAAACACACTTCAGAATATACAGGGGCGATTTCGTATCATCCCACTGTGGTCGCCAGTTTGTTTTCAGCGAAAGTTGTTTCTATTGTCGATTCCATTAAAACTTAGATTGTTCACAGAAAATTACAATGAAAATAAGCAAAAATACAACTCTCGAGAAAATAACACAGAAATTGTTTATCAACTCCTGCTTTTGTGGGACTTTGCCTGTGCCGGGAGTGCTTTAACTCGTGGACCGCCGAATCACAGATCGTGAAGGGGGCTTAATGATTCTTCCTTCGTTTATCGAAGTGAGAATTTGAAACGAAGATATTATCAAAGTAAGACAATCGTTCTTCTTAAGATCAAGTCAAAGTTCGAATCTCAAGGAATCACACCAAGAACTCAAGTCTGCTCTCTCTCTATTCTGGATTGCTCTATCAAGTGCTTGATCCTCGTCAGAAATGACCCTAGGGGGGTATTTATAGCCTCTGGGACATAACTGAAAAAATACAACAACATGACAACATTAGGCTGCGAGACAGTGTTTACTGTCTCGGCGGCCGAGACAGTGTTTGTTGTCTTCGGCCTGCGAGACAGTAAATAGCTATCTCGGAAAAGGTAGTTTCCTGGCAGTTTTTGATGTAACTGTTGTCCCACGTTTCAAACTCCGTTATTTTGGCAGTTGTTCACGTGATTTTCGCCCGCAATGTTTTCCACGTCTTTGGCAGTTAATGGACACGTGTGCGGCGAAGTTATTTAACCACTTTCAATCATAGTGAATACTGTCTTGCTGGAGACAGTAAATACTGTCTCGCGGGCGAGACAGTAAACACTGTCTCGCTGGCGAGACAGTTCATATCTGTCTTGATTTTTGTTCTAAGACAGTATGGGGTCAATTTCTGTGATTTTTGGGTGATCTTCTCTATGTTTGGATATCTATTAGCATTTTTTGACGCCTACAGATACCCCCTCCAAAGTATTCCAGACTCATTCTTTTATAGAGGAGTCTGAGATACTTTGGATAAGATAGATTTTACTTACGATCCCTTCAATGCTTGGTTGAGTAGATCGTGTAGAAGAATCTGTAAAATGGCTCCAGCTCTTGATCTCTTCACTTATTAGTCTATTCAGTTCTTTGTAGAATAGCTAATGCTTCTCTGGCACTGCGTTTATCGCTTGACCGTTGTTGAGATCTTGAATTGAAGCTGGTATTTCCAGATTGATGCTTGTATGTCCCTTAAAAGTTCGTCAGGTTATCCTTAAGAATATTCAGATTAATATTCTCCAAAAACTGCCTGTCGAGTGTAGGAAAACAGTTTAGACTCGTGTACCTATTGGAGTATTCATACGTACCACGACATCACAACCATCATTGCCATCTTGGGATACGAGACAGCTTATACTGTCTCGCTGTGCGAGACAGTAAATACTGCGAGACAGCATTTACTGTCTCGCGGTGCGAGACAGTGTATGCTGTCTCGCGGTGCGAGACAGTATATACTGTCTCGCACGGTGAGACAGTGAAGCCTGTCTCGCACGGCGAAGTCGGGGTTATAAAACCCCGACTTAGGGTTTTTTCAGAGGGTTTTTCACGTCGATCTCTGGGCGATTTTCAGTCGATTTCCTGGCGATTTCGTGGTGATTTTCGACTAGTTCTCTGCCTCTTTTTCTCTTCTTCGTTTCTAACTTGGGTGGAGTTCTTGTTTGGGGGATTTCACTTGGAGATTGAGGTCTGTTTTCCCTCTTTTTCTTTGAAATCTCAACTTCAATTTTGCATGCACTGTTTCAGTTGTATTTTGTGATATTTTGATCGACTTCATGTTCAAAATCCTAACTTTCTCGTTGGATTTCAATGTAGATCATATACTCATCATGTCGCCGCGTAGATCTCGCGTTCCCCGGGGTCGTCCGACTGTTCAGACCACTGAGGGGACTGCCCCCATTGCTGCCTCGCATGGGGGTACACTTCTTTCACCCTTTCACGGATTTAAACACTGTATTTCATCAATTTCATATATATATATCTGTATTTGTATGCAAATCCTCATTTGTATCCCTTGAGATACCTTCGAAGAGCCGGTATCCTCCTTTGAGGGGATCGACGCTTAAAAAGTGTTTGTTTTGCTTGGACAAAACACACTTCAGAATATACAGGGGCGATTTCGTATCATCCCACGTGTATTGAAAGGTTTTGATATGACATTATAATGCTCGTGCATAGTAACGCATATCTCCTTTATACATGTGGTAGATGGAAAATCATCACACCTGTTGTGAGGTAGCGATTATATCTTATGGAGTAAGATATACCGCTTTCTCTAACATTTTAGGATTATTCTTACATAATTTATGTGTATCTCCTTTATCAGTCCAATTTCCTTCTACCATCTTCACTGTTGATGCGGTTACGGGCCAGAGTAGCGCTACCCACTCCTATTATGAGGGGCTCCCGTTAATCGAATCAGCTCCCCAATTCAAGTCAGATTATAGCGAAGGAGCCCGAGAATTGATTCAGCGAGGTAGTTGTCGTATTCTGCGACGGTTAATCACGGACACCACTTTAATTTCGGAGCGAGACTCAAATCAATGCATAAGGAAGCCAGACTTCTTATTTGGTGACTCCGTAAAAGATCCGGAGATCGTTTCCTGCAGGCCTGCACAGTGGTTGCATCAAAGCGAGTCATCGTTCTTATATCTGCCCTGGATTCCTCGGGAGTATTCGCTTTTAAAGTTCAGAAACCTGTCCGTTGGACGTGAAATGTTCTGGAGGTTGACCGAAAACCACGAGCGTATTCACTGTGGTTTCATTGGGAAGGAAGCTACCCCAGGTTCCAGTGACAGAGCTTCTGTGCGAGGACTTCATCCGGGTATTTTAGGTCAAG